CCAGCTCGTCCCTGCCTCCCTAACCTGTTCTTCCTCCCACCTATCCCGTCCTCCCACCTCAAGCCGCACCTCCATCTCCTACCAACCAACCTCATCCCGCCCCCTTGACCTGTCCGTCCTCCCTGGACTGACCTATCCCCTTCCTAACTCCCTACCTACACTCACCTTTACTGGCTCCATCCCCGCCTCTTCGACCTGTTTGTTTCCTCTCCACCTATCCTCTCCTCTATCCGCCTCCCACTCTCTCCCTATTTATTTCACAAGCCCCTTCCCCTCCCCCTTTTCTGATGAAGGGTCTAGGCCCGAAACGTCAGCCTCTCTGCTCCTATGATGCTGCTTGGCCTGCTGTGTTCATCCAGCCCTGCACCTTGTTGTCTCTAAATCTCATTGTCTTTCTAATGCTAACACTATTGCATTTCTTGCTAGTTTTCTCTCATTATGTATGTTCTCATTCAATTTTTAAATCATCCTATGTTTACTTCTAAACCTTTCTGAATCTTCTGGATTACCATAAATCTTCAATACATTGTTTGCCTTTTATTTTAATTTGATACCATCCTTAACTTCCTTAGTTAGTCATACATAGTTCATCCTTCTCAAGAATAATTCCACTATGCTTTTATTTTTAAAGATGGCATTATAGCTAATCAAACTAATAAAATAATTCAGTATTATACTCAATTTAATCTGCTTTCTTACCCCACATATAAGTTTATGTATTAAATGTACACCTTGGTCAAATAACAAGTAGAAAATGAAAAATGACACTTGCTCATGAGAAGATTTGACATGGTTATGAGAGGCCTTGAGACAGATGGCTGTGATGAAGATTGTGTTGGAAGATAGGATTGTATATTTCTATAGCTTGAACTGTCCCGGGATCCTCCTTCCCCATGATTCAGAGCAGTAGATGACAAGGAGCCTGAAAGCCCAATTTGTTGCACTGGTGTTGAGAGGCCTGAGGTCCTTTAAGTAGAGGAAAAAAACACAACAGTGAATTCTTTCTCAGTTGTTATTAACACAGCATTACCTTTCACAGAAAACATGTGACAAAAGTTTGTAGTTTCTTTAAAGAGCATTTTCATTGCATCTTTTCTATTTCTGAACTCTATACAAATTGTTGTAAATTATATCAATTTTTGTTCTTGGTTTCACGATTGGATTATGGGTATGACATTAGTCTTTGGTAACAGTACAAAATGGGTGACAATGAATCAACAGCCCTTTTAAAAAACACTACATATTTCTTTCCATTTAATTCAAATGGGGTTGAATTTGAAGCAGTTTGGATTGTGAGATTTTCCATAGTGCCTACATTTTCTTTTCCTTCCACTCTAATTCTGAACCATTAATATTATCATGCACTGATCTCTATTTGAGTCATTGTCAATGCTCAGGAGTTCATATGACCTTGCCAGAATCACAAACACTTTGTATTTGCCATTTTAATAACCAAGCAGCCTTCACTTGGGCAAAAATTCATAATCTTATTGTTCAGAATCAGAAGTACACACCATGGTTCTATGCCACTTCAAGGTAAGAGTAAATAACATCATCGACTTTATGAGCTTTTACAAAAGTAGTAGTATTTAATGATGCTTTAACTAGGTGGAGGACCCTGATATTTCTTATCACAAAATTCGCAGTCGTGGAGACATCTTTAATTGGATGACCAGGATCACGGCTCCAGAAACAACAATGGCAAAAGCAGTCCTCTGGATGCTGAAAGTCCTCCTTACCAACATTTGCAGGCTTCTGCCAAAATTGGGAGAGCTGTCTCACAGACTAGTCAAGTAGCAGCCTGGCATTGTCAGATTCACGGAACCATACCTTACAGAAGACATCCCTGACACCACTTACACCATCATTAAATATGTCCTGTCCGGCCGGCAGGACAGACCCAGCAGAGGTGGGGGCAGAGTACAGTTGGGACGGATTTGCTCCGGGAGTCCTCAACATTTGACTCTTGGCCACATGAAGTCTCGTGGCTTCAGATTAAACATGTACAAAGAAGCCCCCTGCTGAACTACATGTACCGTAATCCCTCAGCTGATGATCAACACTTGGTGGAAGCACTGATGATTATAAGGGCGAAAAATGTACTCTGGGTAGAGGATTTCAGCATCCAGCACCATGCATGGTTTGGCAGCAGCACTGCTGATCGAGCTGGTCAGGTCCTAAAGGACATAGCTGCCAGATTGGATCTGTGGCAGGAGGTGAAGGAAAACATACTTTACCTCATCTTTACCAATTTGCCAGCTGCCAATGCATCTGTCCATGACAGTATTGGTAAGAGTAATCACTGCACAGTCCTTGTGGAGACAAAGTCCTGCCTTGACATTGAGGAAATCCTTTGTCATACTGTGTGGCACAATCACTGTGAAAATAGAATAGCCATTGAACAGATCTAGCAACTCGAGACTGGGCATCCATGAGGCGCTGTGGGCCATCAACAGCAGCGGAATTGTACTCCAAAATAATCAGCAACTTCATGGCCCGACATATCCTGCACTCAACCCTAACCATCAAGCCAGGGGATCAACCCTGGTTCAATGGAGAGTGCAGGAGGATATTCCAGGAGCACCAGGCATACCTAAAAATGAGGTGTCAACCTGGTGAAGCTACCAAACAGAATGACTTGTATGCCAACAGCGTAAGGAGCAAATGATCTCAGAGCTAAGAGCAAAGCAATCACACAACAAAAAGATTAGGTGTTGTGTCCAGGGTCTAGAAAAATGCTGAGCAATGCAGGAGTAAGGTCAATGGCCTTCTGTGCTCCACCAGATTAAGTGCTACTATCTGCAAATTCACATTCACTCTATCCCTGCTACTGTATTAACATCGCACTGAGGCTCATGATCTATAACTCTCACTAATGCATGCAACATTTTCCTTTACTTTTTCCAAGCCAACCCAAACCCCAGTATTACTAACCCTCCAGGTCCCCTTCTCACTCCCTCAGGACATTTCGCTGCAATTCCTCCATCTGCATTAGGACTAACAGCTGTGTCAAACACTTTCACCTCACTCAATCCCTCCTTTTCTCTCATAACAGGGAAGGACAGTCTATAATAGGGCTGATCAGCCAAGAATGGGTGACAGGGTGCTGGATATTCATTACTGCAAGGACAGGCATTTCACTCTGACAGGCAAAGACGAACTGCTACTGTGGAGATGCTGAAAACCTCCATACACAAGCGGGTGAAGGCAGCCGGAGATGGTGAAGAGGGTGAGGTCAAGCCTGAACTGGGGGAGGTCGAGCCCTTGTGTGGAGTACAAGACCAGCATGGCCAGGCTCTTATGGACTGCGGTGTTGAACTGTTAACTGTGTTTCTTTGTTTTTCCACTTTTTAATAAGAAGGACTGTAATGATTCACTTTTGAATTTTGTTTTCCTTTTTTTCTGCCCTGTACCTAAGATGGTGCCAGAAGTGGCAATTTGTAACTTTTCACTCTGCTCGTGTGAGTACATGTGACTGTAAGTCTAATTCAATTCAATGTCCCAGCAACCAGGGAAGATGTAGTGTTTGTTGCTGTTCTACTCTCCCATTATCCTAAAATTCCTGTCCCTTGGTTACAATGCTTCCTTTCCTTTGTCTCCTGCAGGCAACAGCAGCCTGTGCACAGCAGCCATGGACAAGAGGGACTCCCTGCAAGACGTGCCCTCATCCACCTCTGAGGAAGAGAGCACAGATGCCTCTACAGAAACACTGGGAAGGCTGCCGCCTGCTCACTACTTACACTTCAGTGAATATTTTATTTAGATTAGACTCAGGAGCACCTGCTCGTGAGCACCTCACTGCTGCATTTCCACAGCTGGTCAAGGGAGAAACGGCTCAGGTCACTGCACTCACAGGACAGCTGGAGACTGGGCAACTACTTAGCCCCAGGCAGAAGAGGATCACATGGGCAATTAGGTGTACAAGCAGGCACAGCAACAGCAGGCAGGTTTGGATGGGGCACCGGGCAGTCTAACACAGAGGCTGCAAGTCTGCAGCAACGCAGTTTGCACGCTGCTGTCTTAAGTGAGTAAGCATCTGGCTGTCTCTATGGACAGACTAGCGATTGCCATGAAAAGCCAAATCCAGCAGTCTCACAGTCTGGCAGATCACACAGACGTGCACTCCATCGCTCTAGCCATTTGTACTCAGCACTAATGGCAAGGTGACAGGGGAACAAGAGATCCTGACCTCACTCCAAGCACTCCTTCCTCACAAGGAGACAGGGTGGTGCCAGTAGGCACCCAGCTCCAGGAAGAACCACACACACTGGCCCCTCAGAAGTCTCCTCTCAGGTCACTCCAGAGATGGTCAGACCTTCAACCTCTGCCCTGTCTGCCAGCCTCAGACCTGTAGGAACTCAAGCCGAGGAGGGTGCACGTGCTTCTGGGCGGTACACATTCAGCATGTCTGGGTCTGACAGACAAAAAAGCCTCTGAGGCCATCTGACCACACTTCCAAGGTCAATGGGCTTCACTAAAATGCAGGTTCCCTCTGAACCAGCTGCAGAATTCAGGAATGTACTGAGATGCAGCAGGAAGGAAAGAAAACAAAGTCTTTTGAGGGCATATAGGTGGCATAGGTGACACTAGAGTGTAAATAATTTTGCATTTATTTATAATCTATTTAGTTATAATATTTATAAATGTGTTCTCTTTTCACCATTAGCTCTGCATGCAAGTCTCTGTCTAGCCACAACTACAACATTGAAGATTCACACTCCACCCATTCTTGTCATGACTCGATGTTCAATGGTCCAAGGTGTGAAGGAAGCAGCTCCTGCACCATGCACCAGCAATGGGTAAATGGTAGGTCTTCACTACTTTGGCAACCCCAGCTTTCCAGTTAGACAAACAAAGCTTTTGCATCACAGGCATAAGTGGGATTCACTCATGATCTTGCATGATATGGTCAGGAGTACATAGGGCAAGGATATGGACTGCATACAGTAGGCTAATGTCTAAGGTTCACAAAACATGCGTCACTCATACGGTGGTTTATGTAATAGTGTTACCCTTTGAAGGGCCTCACATTGCTAGAAATTAAAATGCCATCACAGAACAATGCACTTATGCCACACAGTCCAGGTCTCAGCCATTTTTATCTCCGTTGTACACTTGTTATTTACAACACAATGAAGGCAACAGCAGTTGCTCTTGAAACAGTGAAGCTCATGCTCAGCCTCTCCATCCTGTGAATTCCCAGACAATCCCATTCCTACTAGCCCTCCCAGGCAGCCCCATAGGCCTCGCATTTCCCCACGTCGGCACCAACCTATCTATCTATGTCTCCATCTGTTCACTTTACTCTCCAGCCCCAGGCATATCAAGTAAACATGCTAAGTCTAGTAGTGAACTGTTCCCCCATGGAAGCCAGGGTTCTGCTCACAATTGATGAACCCCATCACTCCCACATGACCTCTTTCACTCCCATGTGTAATCATCTCTCCTGCTTACATATTGAGTTGCTCTCCATTCAGTACTGTAATCCTCTCTGCAAGTCAACATTCTGACCACAATCTGCACAAATGAGATCATCTGCCTCCATCCTGCAGCCACAGCCCCTCATTAAAGCCCCATCTTGAAATTTACTGGACAGACCCCCAGGACTGACCTTGGCCCATGACCTTGACCAATTTAGGCAGAAAGCCCTGAATGATGAGTAACCAGACACCTTGCTGATACCTATGTAACTTTTCAAATATGTTCCCAGAACTCTCCAGACAACCAGCATTGGGATCCATGGGCTGACAGGCAATTGGATCCTTACTGCCCTGGCCATCTCCTAAGCTCCTGGACAGATATCAGAGGCGGCTCTTATCAGTTTTGGTCACCACACTACCAGAAGGACATGGATGATTTGGACAGGGTGCAGAGAAGGTTTATGAGGATGTTGCCTGATCTGGAAGATTTAAGTTATGAAGTGTGGTTGGATAAACTTGGATTTTTTTTCACTGGAAAGATGGAGG